ATTCTGTTCTTAAATATAATAATTTTTTAAGTAAAGTCAAAAAACTGCTCTTTTTACATCCACATACACACTCTCAAGCTAATTAAACAATATGAAAAAATAATTATATGCAATGCGAACGAAAAATAGTAAAGTTAGATGTTGTGAGTTGATTATTATTTTTAAATAATTATGCTAGAGATTATTAACAATATATAATAATTGTCATTAATTAGCAAAATAAAGGAAACAAACAAATGACCATTTAAAGAAAGATTTTCATTTATCATTGTCTTTATTAACTGATTCATTCATTCATTGTAACTAATAATGTTTATTGTGCGCAAAGGTGCATGTTAGATTGTTTTTGTGTTAATAATTAACGGTTGTTAATTAGGTGAAAGTTGAGCAACCGGCGTAATACATTAGGTAATTTGATATTAAACAATGGGAATTTATCTACATCGTTGCTACCATATTAAGTAAAGAATTAATTAATAAAAAAACAGGTTTTATTTATTTTTTTTTTTTTATTTTCATATTTCATTTTAATATTAAAATTAACATTTTGGGTCAAATTGAGATTTAGATTTTTGGTCTACTTTAAGAAAATCAAATGTTTTTTTCCTCACTGATACATCACTCAAAGAATCATTGTTGTGTCATCACCGACCAAATTTAGCCCAACAAGCCTACCGCGTTTTCATATTATTATTTTTTATATTTGGTTATTTTAAAATGTTATAATTGGCTGCAGATCACACTTCACACTATTTTGGGTTCTTTCACTAATCATTATATTATTCTCTCTGGTGTGTGCCTCAACCGTTTATTATTTATATTCTCATTTTTTCATTTTTTTTTTTAATTTTTTTCCAACATCATATAACACCATCGTCATCATTTATCATTTAATTACACTGCATATCTATTATATATCTATCTGATTTTTTAAAAAAGAAATTATTTCTAAAGAAATCCTAAAAAAAAAAACAATTTTTGAAAAACAACCGCAATTATCATAAAATAAAAACATTGTCTTTTCCAATAATTTAAACAAAGTCAAAGCATGTTAAACTTTCCTTCCAATACTATTAATACTCGTCAAGACATCATTATTAATTCTAATAGTAATAGTATTAGTAATAATAATAATAATACTAATAATAATAATAATAATAGTAACAACAACAACAACAACAACAACAACAACAGTAATAGAATAAACGAATTATCAGAGTTTTCTTCACCTACTTCATATTCTTCTTCCAATACTATTATTATTACCTCTACTAATTCAGGGAATTGACCAGCATTCCCAGATATAGCTCTAACAACAATTAAAATATCTCCGTGATTTGAAAGAATGTTTTTGATTTCTGATTCATAAACAAATGCTAATCTTTGAGATTTTTTTTTTTTTTTTTTTGATTAAAATTAATAAATAATCTTTTTATTTATTAAAAAAAAAGAGGAAATAAATCGATTAAAAAATCAACCAATTACCTCGAAAATTCCTCTGATTCATAAATATTTACATCCACTTCCTTTTCAGCCTTTAAAAGTTCTTTTCGTACAGATTCAAGATTTGCATTAGCCATTCGAAGTTCTGCCAATCTTTGTTTAAAGTCTTGATGATAATTGGTTGTGTTATGGGTGGTATTAGTGTTGTTGGTAACAATATCAGATGATGTTGGTGATGCTGGTGATGATGATGCATTTAATGGAGAACCTCTAGATGATGGATGATGATGATGACGACGATGATGACGATGATAATGGCGATGATGATGATGATTGATCATCATTGTTAGTGA